GGTTCTTCTTAGACGTCTGACTCAGAGTGCAAGTGAGCAGAAGAAAGAAGAAGTAGCAAAGCGTCGAAAGCAGGCGCCTCAGGCGCCGGCATTTGCAACAAATCTTCACTCGTCTAAATCAGTTTCAAGTGAGATAAGTAAGCGTAGCCTTCCGGCATTTTACCACCCGAAAACAACAATAAATAGTCTAGTAATAAATTGTATCAATTAAACATACTTTACTAAAGAACATATTTGTTTTCTCCCGACGGAACGTTTTGTTTTTTAGCCTTCCTTTACTCCAGTCTTTCTTCAAGTATATTATGCAGTTGAAAAATGCAAAAAAGTCTTTTCTATTTCAATTAATTTATTAATAATATTGTAAAATAATTGTATGTCTCCATCTATGTATTAATTACCAAACGACTGATTTTGTTGTTAGCAATACTTGATCGATTTGTTTATGTTTACACTGATAAAAGAGATTTGTAATAATAAAAGAGGCTTTTTAACTGTTAATAAATCTTTTTAATTATTAAGGAATTTAATGTAATTAATATAATTTATATTTTATTGTGGATTATATGGTTTTTTTAATATAAAAAGACATAACCTCGAATGAGGTTAGGATTTGGTTTTATTTAATGCATATTTCTATCAATAAAAAAGTGAGGTTATAATTAATGAATATGACTAAGACTTTTTTATTGTTATAAAATATTATTAGTTAAAAAACATTGATTTTAATATTAAAAAAATCGTTTTTTAACATTTATAACCTCTTCTATCAGTGTGAGACTAGCCCTAACCAAACATCTTTTATAATTTATTCAACTTAAATAAACTTTTAATTAGTCTTACTAATTGTTTAGTCTTCATTCCCATTTATATTTTACAATATTAATAATAATTAATTAATAGTTTTAAAATAAAAAATATTTACCGTATGGCAAATGAAAGTAATAATTTTTTGAAAATTTATTTGTTTTTTGTTTTTAATTTTTAATCTTAATGTAAACAATAGATTAATGAGTTTAATTGTATAAAATAACAAATGATAATTAGAATGATAAATTATCATGACGAGAAAAGAGAAATAATTCAACTGGAAATGATAACAAGAAGTTGAATCCAGCATGGCTGATTGCGTGTTCAGAAGTAAGACTTGAAAAGTCGAAGCAAAAATCACAAGAAGTCCTACTGGCGTTTGTAGGAAGAATAATCACAACATTCGAGGGGAAAATAGCAAGAAATGAGGAGAATAAATTACTCCAACTGTCAAGAAAATGATCACGAGTATGGGATTTTTATACAGAGAAATATCATTCTGTGGTTCTTCGTAAGTTGAAGAGATAACTCGATAAAAAAAAAACAATTTATAAATAAATTATTAATATACATATTTTATAGTTCAAACCAACTCCTAACAACCAAGTCTGGAGCAACTTTTTCAACATTCATTAGCAAGTTTCTAATTATAATCCAATTAAGAAAAAAAGAAAGAAAAAATATCTCCAACCAAATATGATCATTTTTATAATAACATTCCCTTCAGTTTAAAAAAAATAATTGATTGAATTTCGGTTAAAAAATGTCATTTAAAAATTCTTGTTCCATCTTCTTCCACTGAACCTCCCAAACAAGCTTTCAGACTACTTAACGCTTATTCTAACACCCCATGAGCACAGAGACTCATCCTGTATCATCCCCTATTCTTTTTGGTAGCCCATAACCCCTCAGAACTACTTCCAGACCAATAGCAAAGTGTTTGAAGGGAGAATCCTATTGTCAACATCAACCAATCACGACTACGCGTGCGCTGATCATCATCATGTAACTAAGGGATGCTGATGCTTTATTCTTTATAACGCATATCAATTCTCTTCTAATGGCTGCCATGTAGCCCATCTGTGGATTAGGTTCTATTTTACTTAATAAATCGATAGCATTATTCATTTTTATCACTGTAAAAAAACATGTCATTGTTATAAATTTACTGCTTCATTTTTTATCAACAAATTCATCGGAATAAATGTGATGATGAAGAGTCTGACAGTTGAATATCCAAGAATTGGTGTTAAATCATTGGATAAATTAATTGTTTATAATCAGTTGTAAGTCTAAAATGTAATTAAATTTTCATGCCTCAATTTGTAGAGCAATTCAAGCCAACATGAAGCATGGTTTTGACATGAAATAGCTGTGATTTTACATACAGTGAGCCACAAATTTCTACTGATATTATCTACCAGCTGAATGTAATAACAAATATTTGGACTGCTCGACAGTCGTGTCCATCGTATAAAAGCTATGACCTTTACATAATGTTTTTTCATCTCTCTCTCTGTTTATTTTTATGTACTCATACTCTGTCTTTATTTTTATTCAATTTAATTTATTTTATAACACACAAATGAAGCTCATAATACACCATTGAAGATTATAAAAAGAGTCATACAAACTCTAATAAATGTTGATGAAACAAAAGCATTTCAGTACTAGAAGAATTAGAGAGCAAGAATCGAGTGTTTTGAAAAATGCCAATTTATTTCGACACGTTTGGTTGCAATGAATAATACGTAGAGGAACGAAAATAAAAAAACAAAAAAAAAGAAAGAGAAATAAAAGAATAAGAAAAATGTATTGAAGGGTTGTTTATTTGTGTGGCTTCATCCATAGGGGAGAGATGAATACTCACCCTCTTCATCCCCTCTTTTATATCTACTTCTCACTTTAGGATTATTTCCAGGGTGGGCGTTAAAATCTCGCGTAGCCGAAATGAGAATGAAATTTAATCATGCATGATATATGTCTCTGTAACTACTGTCACACATTATCGTGTTATTTTTCTATCTTTGTTTTTGCTCTTCTTCTCTCTTTCAGCCTCTTGATCACACGTGCGGAAGTCACTAAATAATTGCTCTGCTCATACATTAACCCATCAGTTGATGGATACTTTCATTCTGACTCAAAAAAAAAGAAACTAGATAATTATTTTTCATATGATTTTCATGGTGATTTCTTTTTACCAAGGGTTCTGATAGATTTTAAATCATTTTGCAAGTTCCATCAATGATGTAGAATGTACCTTCCAACATGTAGGATAAATAAATGTTGATCAATTTTAAAGCTTCACCAATTACAGGATTGATTAACTTTATAATGAATCTAAAATTCTCATTAACTTGCTGAATTATTTGCTCCAATGATTAATGAAGTTAATTAAAAGCAAAAGATTTTTAAATAATTAATAACAAAATTGCTTGCCACTTCTTATGTTTGGAATCTTCTAAAACCATCCGAGAGATTGTTTTGCTTTGGTATTTCTTGATGTTTAGCATCATTTAGACAACATTAACAAACATAAGAGTCTTTGGAAAAAATGATATTGAATGTGATACTGTGGTCTAGCATGAAGCAAAGCATTGATGATCTCTTGGTAAGTAGTTTTACAGTTGTGTATGAATTATATAAGAGTGTGGAGTTAAATAGATTGACATAAATCATCTCTATCAACGCGTTGAGAATCTAAGGAATTTGATGGAGAAATTTCCGAGGAATTTAGTTGGAAGAAATAAGAAAAAGAGAGAAGAGTATATTAAAAAATGAAATAAGAGGAAAGAAGAGATATAAGAGAGGAGGAATATGGCCAACATCCAGACCCGACGGACGCTATTGCACGACCTGCTTTACCTATGTCCTTATAAACGTTATGTTAATATTCTACTGGACCCAACGGGTCCATGTCGGGACATAAAGAGACACGATATATGATCAGGTAATTTCTTAATTGTGCCCACGAATTCTTGTCATCATAAACAGACTTTTGATTGTATTCGAACGATTCACAAGGCGCCACTTTTCGAAGTTAAATTCCTCAACACACAAATTTGTCTGTGTTAAGATGATTTTTTTGCGAAATAAGCATTATAAACTGGGTGGGACGTTTTATTATCATGAAAAATTTTGTTAATCTTGATATAATTTATAGCTGATAGTTGATGATGGTAGTTTTTAAGTAAACAAGAATAAAAATGATGGCTTGTAAGTATTTATATTTATCAGAAAGTGATGAAAAATTTGTTCATGATATATCATGATGATTAATGGACTTTATAGTTATCGTGATAATTGCTACAGTATTATGATAATTTTATGAATTATCATTCATTTTGCAATGTTAATATCAGTGTGAAACACAAGGTTAATTACAAATTGATGTCATTAATTTGCAATAATTTGTAATTATCATTAAGAAAATATGATCATTAACATTTATCAATTATTGCTGATAACTAAATTAAATATTGATTGACATTTATTTTAAAACTGATTAATGAATATCTCTTTTTAACTACTCATTTTCTAATCTTTATGCTTGAAATTGGAATTTTACAAGAGTTTTACTCATCAACTTCATCTCAGTATCTCCAACTTGCTGTTGAAGCTAAAGGTATGAAAGTAGATAACAGGAAAAGCTTCAAATTATCTTCTAAAGTGTCAATTTTCTTTTCAATCTTCACAAATCCTTAAAATACTTTTGGTTTCCTTTAATTTGGTTTAGATTATCATTCACTCGAAGGATTTCACTTCATTTTCTGCTGTAGAAATAGATATTATTGCTTGGGAGCAGACTGTCATCAATGTGATAAGGGATATACTTGGAATGATTGTTGAAGAATGACTCTCTAGGAGTAGTTGGTGAAAAATATGAAATTAGATATGTTGGTTACAAGTGGATCATAGCAATTTAAATGATCAAGATTGGTAATCTCGATTTCACAAGGATATCGAGTATACAAGAGCACATACATGTTATATATGTTCCTAGAATGAAACCTCAGGTATATAATCGAGAGGCGTGGTCCTTTTGGAAACCTTGTAGTATATCACAAAAACATTCCAAGTCTATTTCCACAGCATGTGAATCAATCCAAGGTAAACAAAGCCCATTTGGCAATAAAGGATGTAGTGTAGGATTGAATAGAAAAAAACATAAATATAATGTAACAAATGCTCACCAGTGTGAGTTCTCTTATGGATCTTCAAGTTCTCGGATCTGGCGAAGACTTTGCCGCACCCATTAAACGGACACTGGAATGGTTTCTCGCCAGTGTGCACCCTGATGTGATTGACGAGCTTGTACTTGGCCTTGAACGCCCTCCCGTTCCTGGAGCAACCCTGCCAGAAGCACGCGTGCGTCGTGCATTCTGGTCCACCCACGTGTTCAACCGTAAGATGAGTTACAATGTCATGTAGAGAATTGAATAATTTCCCACAGAGTTTCCTTCCAGGTCCAGGACTATCCTGATCAACCCACATACATGACATCTCTTGTCTTTGAACGCCACCACCGGTCCTCATGTACCTTAGGAAGGCTCCATGAGGATGGTGGCTTGGGTGATTCACTGCTGGATGTTGTTGATGGTGGATTGATGCAGGAGTTAGATGAGGAGGACCAAGGTACTGGTGATGCGGTGGTGGTAATCGAGCATCCTGACTGTAATGTCCAGGATAATGACCAGCAGCTGCTAGTGGATGCTGACTTGGATGATGAGGGAATTGTTGTATTCCAGCAGTGCTGGTGTCATGATGAAGAGGAGTAAAGAGTCCAAGTCCACTTTCTGGTGTTGTTGGATTTGCCGTCGCGTTGAATTCATGTTCACGACGAAGCAGAAAGTCTCTAGCTGCATAGGTTGGATGATGACTCATGGGATGACCCATGTGAGGTGTCATGTGGCTAGCTGGATGAGGATGATGTGGAGGATATCCTTGAGGATGGAAATGATGATGTTGTTGAGACGGTGCATCTCCAGTTGGTGGTTGGACACCATTATTAGCATCTCCAAGACCATCCGTCGCACCACCAGGGGATAATTTGATGCCTAAATTCGCAAGATGATGGGGGTGTGATGACACCGAGTCTAAGAAAGTATTCATCATTGTACTAACTCGCTTCTAATCCTGATTCTCAAAAGTAAATACACACTAGCATGCTTTAAAACACTAATCTCTTGGACACTTGAATTTCACTGCACTTTGGAGTTTAAAATCTTTAATCACGTAAGTTTAAGTTTTCAAAAATCACTGATTATCAACAAATGACACGCGCTGTTGTACGTCAAGTGTCAACTTACTCGCGCCAGTGACTGCTGACGGGGCCAAAGGTGACGCTCGTCGACGACACCAACAGGTAGAAAATCCGTAGCGTTCCTTGCTGAGTTCACAGCGGGACTGAGGAGATTCTCTGAGCTCTCGCTGCGGGGCGACTACGAATTTCATTAGATTTCGTCTTATCCCCACTTTCTCCCACTCTAAGAACCTTTCAGAGCCAATACGACTCCAACCTAGTAGGTACCAATGCCCCATTCGTGCACAATCACCCAATTGACTTCACCCTCCGTTGGGGAACGTGTTTGATCGGTTCTTTCTGATAATCACAGGCGTTTCTTCATCAAAGCGCATGACTGCTGCTCCACCTTTCGACATGCCCGCCTTCAGAGTTTTATTTTTATTCGTTCAAATGATTTTGTAATATTTTTATAAACAATTTCATTTATAGATTAATAACAAAATGAGTTTTATTCCTTCAAAGAAACTGATTTTTAGTGATCATCAACTCTAAGATAATAAATTATTATTATTGGAATAATTAAATTGTTGTTTTGATGTCATCAAGTTGATGTTTATCTACCATCATATATTTAAGAAAAAAAGATCTTGAAAATTAATTAATTATTAATATTGTTTAAAATTTAGTAAAGCTCGGTATAAATAAAAAAAATTGTTTAAAAGTTGCTCCAAAAATTTTTTAAATATCAAAAAGTGTCGATAATGTCGCCATCAAATTAAGAATCTCCATCAACATCATTCAAGACTAAAATCTTCATCATGATGATGACGAGTTTTTTCATCCTTTGATCTACTCCGTTCAATTGAGTGCATTCAGATAGCATACACGAGCCAAGAATTTAATTCAATTTATTTCAGCACAAATTCCAATGACATCGTAATGCGATGAAGAATTCCATTAACTTTTATAACAAATTTCCTAAATAAATAATTCCTTTTTGCATTTTTCTTGAGCTTCCAACCTTCATAATCTCTACCTTACAACCTTTGCCTCTGATACCCTCAAACCTATTCAAGAGTGGGCCATTTTTCCATTTGATTATAAACAACAATAAAAATCCCGATGCTCTTTACAGAGTAATAAAATCCTAAGTAAAGAATATAATGAAAGGCACAAAACTTTACTTGAATAAGTTAATTATTATATGTCTGTAGAAAAGGTCTAATGATACTTCATGTTGGTATGGTCAGAAAATCTTGACTTTTGCAGCCCTAAATGTCACTACCTATATAAACTTATTTTCACTGGAAATAATTGGTGTCAAACTGTTGGATTATTGAAATAATACATAAATATAAATTTGACCGACAAAAGTCAGTAAGAAAGCTTTGTAAGTTTATTGGGTCTGAATGACCTGCTTAGTTAGGTCAACTCTGGATTACACCTATTAATTCTAGCAAATCTTCTCAAAACCAAGCCATATAAATTGGGTTCTAGAAGCTACCTGCATTGCATTCACCAAGAAATACTACTTTAAATTTTCAATAAAGATTATTAACTTTTTTATACCTTTTTACGAATAACAATTATTTTATAACAGGGAAAAAAGTAAAGGATAATTGACCCGGATTCTTCCCATAATTATAAGGCAAGTGAGAAAAATAGGACTAATCGGCCTGTGCAGCAAAGTTTACTTTACTGCTCTAGTAAAGAAATTTTTCCGAATAAATTTATTGTAAAGTGTGGATTCCATTACACTTCCAGTTAATTTTAATTCATGTCAATTGGGAGTTATACATTAATATATTCCTCAATTTTTTAATGTAATATTTATTAGCGATAAAATTTCAAATCAAATTTTTTTTTTCTTGGGGATTCGACCATTCCACAAGTTGTATAAATAATACTTTGGAACTGGTCACTTTTTCTTTTTTTTCAACCACTTTTTAGTGAGTTGCAGTGTAATATTTATTATTCAAGAGTGTCATAGTAGGTCCACACGATACCAACTTCATACAGACTTCTATAAAATTTTGTCTGCGCAACAAATCAGTACAAACAAAAGTCTGAGCACGGAAGCTGGAAGTATGCGTGTATGTCTGCTAGTGATGACAATTTTTGAAAAATGGCAGATTTAAAATAATCTAAGTCTGCACATACATTTCGTCATTATATTTGTCATGAAAATTTTTACTCAGACTTTAAGTCTATACAGATATCTATACAAACAATAGTCTGTATCGTGTGGACCCACCATTATATTTCTCCATACTCTGAAGCGGTGAGATTACAACTGTCGGTTGTCTTCGGGTATATTCGTAATCACCATATGCGCAATACGTATGCGTAGATATACTATTTTTCTCAGTAGTGCAACAGCCTTCGTATAGTACGCGTCAATGTGAATCAAAAGTGATAAATTAAAATACTATTCCCAAGTACAAAAATTGATGAACAATTTATTACATTGTAACAATCAGCAATGGTGATAGTTATATTGTAAGAAGATGGCCATAATATTTAAGATGTTATGTACAGTAAATCAATAAAAATTAAATAACTTATTCATAATTTCAAATTAAATCTAAATTATTTTTTTTTAAAAAAAAACCTTTTCATCAATTTCTTTTAATCCTTTTCCTTCTATAGAAGAAAATTCTTTTTTTTTATTATAATAGAAAAAAATCATCTAATAGCAATTTTAATTAATTATGCAATTTATTTATTACAATTGGGGTAAACAAAACGTATTGCAAAAATTTTTTTGTTTCATAAAAATTTATATATCAAGTTTTTATACTTTTTCAATTTATAAATAATCTACAGTTGATGAATGTTATTCGTTCAGTATTCAAATTTGACCCTAGGGGTAAATTTTACCCTGCATACTGAGTAATATTTATCCTAACGGAATTTAAAAATTACCACCGTCCCAGCATTACGCTGGATACACTCGCTTGGCTATTCTAATACTTCTTTTGTAAACAAAAAGAGAAAAAACAATAATTGAATTAATTTATCAGCACACAATTTTTACTTTACGGCCAGCAATGTTTACTTTCCAATATTCAGAAATCTATATGCCAATAATAATGCAATCACCGTTCGACTTAATAATTAAGTTAACATTCCTGAAAAGCTTAGGAATGAAAATGTCATCTGCAAAGTACAGTCCACAACTTATGAATCCAACTCAAATGATTTTAAAAAGGATTTCAAAGACTATACCTGTGATGTAGTACGTGATCGAGCAATAAGGCAATGGATCTACCCAGTAGTATTTACTGCTTACGCCCTAGAAGCTTTAAGTAATATATTCATTACTAGCAGTCAGACTGCACAGGAATAATTTCATTATGCCTGGATGAGTTCTAAACGTATTATCTGGATAATCTCAACTAAATCTAAAGGGATAAGTTCTGAGTAAGCTAAAAAAATACTTAAAATCACCTGTACCATTGGTGATCATCACTCATCAGCAGATTTAGCTTCATATTCAATGTGAGTATTGAGAATAGTCCAATAGTTGTGGTTGCTCGTCATCATTGCCATCATCATCTTTTAGGTTAAGCTTCATCACTGGACCCCTAGTCCAAACTTTTTAGAGCTTCATCTCTAGCCTACTATAAAGTCAAGCAAACTCGATAGATAGAACCGGATTCCATGAATTCCGGGTACCTGTAAACGAGATCCATAGGTGTAATCTCTAATCAAGATCAGCTTTAGTTAAACGAAACACGAGGTTAAGCTAATTCGACAAGATCTAATCTGGATAGCAAATTAAATTGATAGACAAACTAATCTATTAGTTGTTCATCTTTTTATTGGTACAATAAATTCCTAGTTCTCCTTCTGTTACATCTTTTTGATGTTCTTTTCTTGTGTTTTGTCATCAAGTGTTATTGCCATTCTATGTTTTATCAACTTGCTGTTCCTCATCAAAAAGTCTTTGGATCTGGCAGTTCTAGATCTTGCTGACTTTGCTTAAAAGCATTAACACAGTTGGATCTACTATCATGTGCTGCCATATTTGCTAATAAAAAAAAGTCAACAGTGAGATGCAAACTGGTACAAGGAATTGAAAAAGTAAATAAACTAATTTTTATCAACAATTGCAAGTAATTTAAAAAGCATTGCTCAACTGAAGCTCTTTGATTATAAAATACAAAGAAATTATGTGGCCACATTGGGAACAAAAAAAGAAGAAGTCTCAGGAGGTGGTTTATTGTTTCGACTGGGTCATTGCTCACTGGGACCAACGTCATTACATTTAATTAATCATCAAGGAAAATGAAGGGCTATATAGAATCATTCTTCACTTCATCATCCACAAATTGTCCATCATATCCCCTCTGAATGCCAATGTGATTTCGAGTCTCTTAGACATTACATATGTATACATATGTACGAAAGAGCCTTCATGGTAGAGTTTGTTCTCAAATCAAATGTAAAAGTTGATTTAAAAGTTAAAAAAGAAAAAATGATGAAATAAAAAATATTACAAACCACCAAGTCTCAGCAATTCATCAAGGGCCACATTAGTCGTAATTACTCGTCAGAAGTAGCAAGAAAAAAATATATATTTTATGATACTTAGGATTCAGAAGCATTACGAGTACCCGCAAAATGCTCTTGCTCTCGCTCATATAAATCCATGGTCATTACACTCGGAGCAATCGCTATTACTCATCGGAAGTGCTTTTAATTTATAAACGACAACGTTCTTATTCATTTATCGTGTTCTATACAGTGCGAGGTGCATTTATTATATGAACGATCACCACTTGGTTCTTGATATAAGTTGTCTCTTCTTCTTTTGACGTACTTGGTTCTTTTACTCAAACCATTTTTTCATTCCATTTTTTTTGCTATTTTTATTTGCAGTTTATTTACAAAGTGCATGGATTATCTTGTGTATGCAGTTAATATAAAAACTTTATAAACTGCATTTTCTTTTCTGCTCGTCACCAGGTGATACAACTCACCCGCAGAGCTAATTCTTGTGTAGTTATTCACAAATTTATTGCAACAAAAACTTTATGCCTTTCATTAATTGAACTTGAATTATTTATAGTTGCTGCATAAATCAAATTTATTTATTGTAACATTGTCATTTTCATAATATTGTTAAATATAAACAAGTAATAACTCTAAAATTAATAAAATA